TACGCACAGGGTCCTCGGCTTGAGAATCCGCACACCCTTTTAGCACGAAACGTTTGCTTTCTTTACCGTCAACATGCACGCCGAGCACCTAACGTTGCAACACACAACAGGTGAAAACAAACCCATTGGCTATTCACGAATCACGAACAAAAGTGCCCAGGTATTGTCTTCAAGGCTTAACAACGTGGTTTTGTGTAGCCTAGTGCCCCCTTGGTTAATCTGTCCCTTCCTGTGCAATAGCTGGAGTCAAACGTCCCACCCCAGAGGAGGGCGAGTCTGTTGGGGAATGAGGCTCTGGTTCCAGCACATTTTCTGCTGCAGCTCACTACTTTTTCCACTCTTCTCTCCCAATTACAGGGACACCCACGCGAGCCACACCAGGTGCACTGCAGAGTCAAGTGGTGTACGCGTGTCGACAGTCCATAGGGTCTAGTTCCAACACATACTCGCACATTATGCCACAGACTGCCACCTCAAGTTGATGATGTATATACACAGGTTCCCCTAGTTTGTTTCCCTCATAAGCCTCACCCTAAGGCTTTCCCTCTTCAGGCGTCATTGGAACATAGCCTTTCTTCTGCTAAAGCAGGGAAGCAGGGGGGTTTAACCCTTCTTTTTTATCCCCCCTCCTTTTTTTTTATTCCCCCTTCCTTTCTCCCTGCTTTACAGAAGTGTATATACTTAGGCAAATGTGTATAATAGATGTATAGTATAGTCTTTCGGAAGTTAATGTGTGGCAAGTGGTCAGTCGACCCCCCCTTTAATTGCTCCCTGGCTAAAACCCTGTTAACGAGCAGTTCTAGTAACTGGTTCTGCATGCACGCCTGTTCAGACCACAGAAGCCTGCACGGTGGCTGGAAAAGAGAAGACAGAGCTTAGTTCTTGGACTCAAAAAAAGCAACAATCGCGATGAAGCATGCAGAGAAAGGAGAGAGTCTATAGTTACTAAAACTGCTCACAGCGAAGAAAAAGTGCTCATCGTTAATCTGCTTAGGAAAAATGTGCTCCGGTATTTGGTGGGAGTCTAGAGATTAACAAAAACATTGCATACATACCACCGTCACTGGACTGGAGGCACGGTAAGGAAACATACTGGGAGTTAATGAGACTACGTTGCAACACATTGGGTGAGAGAGTGTTGAAGTTTGAGCTGTTTAACAAAGACAAGAGCACTCTGTTACCCAGTGTGTCTTTCCAAAGGGTTGCCTCATCAACCAGCCATTGTGCACTGGGCAAGGGAAGACAGTGTTAATGGGACTACATTGCAACACAGTATGTAGGTGGGTGAGAGAAAGTGCTATCTGCAAGAGTCTGGAGGGCTTCCTCCATAGTTGTGTGTGAGACTAAGGTTGAAGATACTGAGAGTTGATCAGACTACATGGTGGGGTTCCTCTGTAATCTCTTCCTTGGTGAACTTTTTCTCTCTCTCGATCCATCACAGTGGAATTAAAGACCAATGACGTAGAATAACACATGGTTTTTTAATGTTGCCGGGCTAATGTGGCCTCACTGAGTCTATGCTTGTGTCCTTATTAGAGGGGTGTCCTCATGGCAAGGGGGTGTCCTTAGAGAGGGGGTTCAACTCGGTAGGAGAAAGAGCATTGTCGTTTATGAGTTTGGCTATTCTGCAGTGGTGCGTGAAGGCCGCCTCTTCTAGTGAGCTAGATGTGTTCACCAAGGAAGAGGGAGACGGTAGGAGTGAATCAAAACCCGGGAGGAGAAAGAGCATTGTCGTTTATGAGTTTGGCTATTCTGCAGTGGTGCGTGAAGGCCGCCTCTTCTAGTGAGCTAGATGTGTTCTCCAAGGAAGAGGGAGACGTTGGGAGTGAATCAAAACCCGGGAGGAGAAAGTGCACTGTTCATGAGCAAAAACTGTTATTCTGCAGCAGCATGAATGGCCTCTTACACAGCAGGAGCAAGATTGTGTACAAGGCTTTCTGAGAGTAAGAGAAGCTGGAAGACTGAATGGCTACATAGTAGAAGTACGTAATTACACTGTGTACGCCAGCAGAAAGAGCGTTGTCACCCATGCAGGGCTGCCTCCTCCACAGAGCAGGATAGTGTACTAGGAGTTCACACCGCGACGAGAGAGAGAGAGAGAGACACAGAGAGTTAACGAGGCACGAAGACGGAATCCCAGGCAGCTGCTCTGCAGCTGGGGGAGACTCGGGCTAATGGCATTCCTCAAAAGAAACCACGGCAACCACGAGGTCACGGCATACCGCAGCACAATAGCGTGTGACTAAACTGCTAAGGAAAACGACGAAAACAAGAGCGTGGAAACCGTCTCAAAAGCAACCATTTATCACTGGGAGAACACGTAAACCAAGCTCTGTCTCCACACTATAATGGTTCAATGACTTCAATAACTGAGCTGCATGGGCGAACGCATCTCAATGAGGTAATGTGTTTTTATGTCATTAACCCCATCACTGTCAGCCTGCCCCCCACAATTTGAAGCCAAGTGTTGGCAAACAGCCAAAGTGTTGATGTCCAGTAATCTACTGGTGTACACACTTGTGAATGGCAAACAACCAAAATCTTGTTATTAAAACCCTTTGGACGCCATCCTTAAATAAGCATAAATTGATGTATAACATATTAACACCTAGTATTATACCCATATATAAATTCTTATGGACTTATGGAAGCTCTGGGCACATTATATATATGCCCGTGGCTGGCTAAGGGTTAAAGTGCATCACTCCAGCGGCAGTATACACAGTACAAGATAACCATCTCCTTCCTTACGTGCACACATGAAACCCACTCATGTATGTAGCAAGGAATGCGTAGTGCTACTGTAACAACCTCATTAAACACATAAATTGCGGCAAAAATGTCCACCGCTACAACAACTTGGTTTTGTATACTCTAACAACAAACCTCTAACGAGAGATCAACCTATTTGGAGTACACACAGCCCTACCCCCTACATATGGTGGTGTAGCCAGGTATGCATTCAGTCTGGTGGGCCTACACCTACTTGAACACGCATGACAAACTGGCAGGTCGCTAATCATCTGTAGCGACAGCGATTGGCGTGCTGTTATCAGTTTAGAGCAATTCCCACTGGTACCATTATTACACACGTGGTCATGTATATATACACACGTTTGGAGTGTACTCGTGAGGAAGGTAAGCCCCTCTAATCGACTGGGCCGTTTACGAAACCAGCACCAGGTCGGTAATAGGGAACTGACCTACATATTATGCACTGGTAGAGCTACAACTTTACCTAGGAACTGACTCATCTTATGAGAGTGAATAATGAGGTGTAATCCCTGTCTAATACTGATATAAAGGACACCTCTCTAATACAGACACCTTTTGCTTTTTCCAGATAACGGTCCTTGTTTGCAAATTCTACCCCCGAAAATGGTATAAACTTCACCACTTGTTTCCTGTACATATGTACCTGTATACCACCTTCAATTCACACTGTCACAACAGCCTTGTCCTATTTCACCAGCCACCCACTCACACACACACACACCCAGAGGGCACATTCAGGAGACTACGAGGAGACGCACACACACTCACTCACTGGGGCGTGTGCGTTTGTCTGAATGGCGGCTCAATTCATTCACACACAGCCACAGTTTCCCTCCAGGGCCATGGCAACTCACACAGGACAGAGTCCCAATGGAGATAGCCATCTTTTTCATGCCACCCACACCATGTGTCTCACGTAAAACAGTCTCAAAAACCTGCGACATTCCGAACACACATTGACTGGTGGAGAAAGCTGTGGTCAGTACCCAATAGGACAGAAAATGGAGACCGAATTGATAAGGGAAGAAAGATAAAACGGGACCGAACATATGTGTGTGTACGTAGTTATTAAAAGACATTGTTTCTTGCTGCAGGTATTACTATGGGTGGGACTTACTTAAACCTTGTAGTTTGGGACTTACTATGGGTGGGACTTATGTATTTTGCTCAAACATAACAGACAATGTTTGGACCAGAGCTTCAGCAGGTCCATACAACATTACATGTCAACGACGATCGAGGCCATAGGCAAAGCAAAGGCAAACAAATCAACTGCACCCAGGACAACTCCAAGGGGAAAAGAAGAGCTGCCCTGGGTGGGATTCGAACCCATGGCACTCTGCCCACTGCGTACATCCTGACGCTCACTAAATATGTACGGAGGAACCCGTGATTAAAAGATGCGCTAGGACCATGGGACTTTAAAACAGAGGTGACTTTTAAACTAATACACTGCAAGTACTAATTAGCACCATACTGAACTTTAAAATGTATACTGTGGAGTCTCCTATTCTGACGGTGTTTAGCTAGTTGTGTACATTATACTAACAGCACAAGATGTGTAACATATTCACCATTTGTTTACACAACACCTGTGTGTTGGCTGTCAGTGCACAGACTCCTGTCAGAGCAACAGACAACTTCCGTCACTGTGCTAAACTTGTGTCAGCTTGCGCTAAACTTCTGTCTAGCTTGTGCTGACACCGCCAGACAACAGCAAGAGTTTTTTTAACTCCAACACACGGGCTCCTAGTGGTTCCACTGTACGCTGGTCCTGCAATACCTCGTGTCAACTGACATGCATACCGGCAGTTTGAGGTCATGGTATCAGGTACAGTGGACACGTGTTTCATGCTACCTCCAACAACACCTGGGTAGAGTAATGACTACCCGTCTATCGTGACACGTGCGTCTGTAAACGGAAACTGCAGGTGCGCCCCCCAAAACTGTCTAGACTGCTGGGGAAAAGAGAGGCAGAGAGAGAAACTAAGTCAGAAGCCTAGTGGTTGGTGCTGGCAAACAACTAAGTATGAACAGGAATAGTTGTACTACATTTGCTAGTACGTGATGTAATTCGGTGTACATAGGTACATTACAGCACACTAAAACACTTTTGGGACCTGCGATATGATACCATTACTGCTCATCACAAGTCCTCAAGTGCTAAAAATGACTTTTTGAAGGACTAAAGTTATGCAATGCTGCAAAGTGACAACTGTTCTAACCTTGACTGCAGACTCTGAACCAAGTTCCTTGAATTCTTCAAACTTCATCACCTAAGAATGTATGTACATAATGCAATAAAATGTCCTACGGAGGCGGTATTTGCTATACTTATAGCCACCAAACCTCTATGTATAGTTCGGATTCGGTCCTAGGATTACGTTGTGCAAACCTCGGATCAGCTAGCTATGCGCAGAAATCCTAGGATCACATTCCAGCTGAGCAAACCTCGGGTTGTGCTTGCGGACACCTGACGAATCAAAATTGTGCGCACGTGGGGACCAACACAATCCTAGGACGGTCCGCATCCGAAGTGTGTCCCTTAACACATACATAATAATGACAGCAACATATGGAGGGAATCTTTGCTGTATTTATAGTGACCAAACTTCTATGTGGACGTGACACAACAACAACACAACACAGTAAAACATACATTGTATGGTGCCAGTCTTGTGGTACACATACACACAATGACGACACATTACACAGTAGAGAGGCGCAGTCTCTGCTGTACTTATGTAGCCACGGGTTTGGTAGTAAGCATTTGGACACAGTATAGTTTTACCTCGGCCATGATGAACCCCTTTTCAAAGTCAGTGTGTATCTTGCCCGCTGCCTGCGGTGCCTTTGTGTTTTTCTGCAGCAGCACAGACAGAGACAAGGAGAGTCAGAATTGTATGTTTACATCCGTACAATAAAAACACAAACACACATGTAGAGAGACAGAGAGAGAGAGAGTTGGACTGAACTGTGCACGCTCACATAAACGTAAAATAAACTTTTCGTTGCCGTTTGCTCGACAGGGCTAAGCTAAGGAATTACTTAGCATTGCCTCATCACGCTGTACAATACGTGTCACGAACATCTTTCCTTGCGATGTGCTACTCGGCATGGCGTGACAAGGCAGTGAGACCTATGTACATATGTATGTGCACAGAATAATGCTCCAAGGAGGTATATACATAGGAATGCCTAGCTGTTGTGTGTGTAACAATGATGCATATTCTACAACATGAAACATGGTACTCCAGATGCATGCGATGATAAGATTTTGCAATGGTTAATCTTCATGTGAGAAAAACAAACAGTTACATCGTGTTTCACCCCATACTGAAAATGGCATTTTCAAAAGCTAGTAGTGCTCACACCCCCTCTCATCTCCCCTTTTCTCTATGTATCTCTCCACTTTGTCCCTCCTCTCTCCCTCTCTCCCTTTCCCACTTCTCCTCTCTCCCCCAGTCTCACCCCTCGCCCTCCCCCCTCCCCTCCCATTCTCTCCCTTCTCTCCTTCCTCTTCCACTCCCTTCTACATACATACACACCTACCATGATGGTCCAAGCCCTCACTTCATCGTGACCACAGGTAGAAGAAACACTGGAGATTGAGGGTCTGGTAGCCTGTAGCGATGATCTTCCCCAGTGCACTGAGCACAGAAATACCACACAACACATTATTCCACAGAAGTCACACACATCACTCCATTTGCATTCAACCACCGCTCCCGTTTTACAGACCCCGCCCGTATTAGGTAGCACCCTTCCAGTCCTTTTACCCCCGTTAAATGCCACACACCACATCATTACTGAAGGGTAACTGCCACCTTAGTTGGGCAAGCAGCCATGGTGGAACTGCGTTAGGTTTGGACTATTTGATGGACTTGATTCTCGTGCATGCACACTAGCCAAAGGAACAAATACGAAAACTGACACTGTACCTACGTATATAATATATATATACATACATACACACTTGCTCCACTGTGTACAAGAGGAATGTGTACACACTTACTGCAATGTGGTAGCATAATATAAATTGCCCGATGGCTAAAATTCACTGCCTATCACTTACAACCATCAGAAAAACACAAAACACACAACTGCTGTCTAGCCCATAAGGGCATGGAAAACAAGTGATGTTGGAGAAAAAAGGTGGGAGCTCTGTTCAGCTGTTTTAGGGTTGTTAGCCCTCATCAGTATACACATGTACTGCACTCAGGCATGAAAGGATAGGACCAATGACTTGTAATGGGATTGGCAATTCAATAGGGGTAGTTGAGGTCAGGGGGCTTGCTCACGTGGCCCACCGGAATGGCCTACGAAATAGACGGCAGAATGGAAAACAAAAGATCAGTGTCTGTAGCCGCAGACTCCCTGGCTACCCTGAGTCGGCCACGCGTCCCAATATATGTCCAATGGTTGCCATGGGACTGTTTCTAACATTTCCAGTCAGAAAATTTGGGGGACAGTACGCCTGCAAAAAGCCCCAAAGGAAGTGTTAAAAACTATAGGAATGCTGTCATATATAGCTGGCCCATCATTCTCTATGCAGGCAGACACTTCTCTACTACATAACACACACATTCAAACAAACTGCTAACTGAGCAATTCAGAAACAGATATAGCGAGGTGCATACAGCATAACTACAACATAATCACGAATTTTCTCCGTTTTTATGACATATCTTATCTTGCATAAGTAAGTATTTTTCACGAGTTTAGCGTGGCATACACACACACACACGCCAAACATGTTCACAAAACTTCTGTAAAATTGCTTATTGCAATTCGCACACAATACTTTATGTCCAATGCCTATACTTCCCTATACTAAGTAGTGCCATATACTTGGTGATTATGCCCACAAGAGAAGTGGAGAAAACTTGCGACAAACTCTTCTTCCTTTGCAACAAAATTCTCAAACTAGAGATTCTCAAACTATGGATTACAGACAATATCTAATGCCTACAAAATATCCCAAGCCTGAGATCCCACAAACTATGCCCACTAAAGAGTTCGACACTGTATATACTCCCTGCATGCACTCAGGTGCAGTATTAGTAGTCACTTGCAACAGGTGGTAAACAGAGAGATCACGTGTATCTTTGCAGAACACGTTTCATCCCTCAAAACTACCCACTTTAACAGTGGGACACCGCACTGTACTCCCTGCACGCACTGAGTTATAGACTTGCCTCTGTGTCTTTGTCTCCTGACAAAACCTCATCTTCTCATCCTCTGGCATGTCAAACAGCTGTGTGGTGAATCATGCAGACACACACACATGTTCACATGCAGACATACATACACGCCGAAAATCAACAGAGAATTCAACAGTTTTGGGCGCGCAAACATCCACAAATTTGTCACGTGTGCCACGGGGACTACCGGGCTGGCAGGTAAATGCTGTTGACTGATGTGTGTTAAGGCAAGTATAGAGTGTTGTGTTCGTGTGCAAGCCAAAGTTGTTCCAAAACGAGACAAAATCTGCACGTAACTTTTCTGATGCGTGCACGTGTACACACCTTGAGTTCTAGTCCAGCGCTGAATGGTATGATGAGGGCATGTGGATCTCTGCTGTCCACCCACTCCTTGATCTTGGATAACCTACACACACACACACAACACGATCTATGTATACTCACACAAACCATAATCTGGACACATTCACATATTCCAAATTTAAACGAGCGTTTGCACGCGCTCTGTGCACGCACCGACAGCTACTATTCGAAACTGCTCATAATAAATATTGCACGTGTACTACAAATGCTCCTTCGTCTCTTGCACTGTTGGTTGTTTCTAGAAATGCCCCCCTTCTTCCTCTTTCTCACTTCCCCTGACTGTCTCCCCTCACCTCCCTCTCCCCTTCCCTGCACGTGAAGCACTCTTTATGAACATATACATGTGCAGTAGCTCCATTAAACACATTATGTGAGGGAAACGTGCCATTGTCGCGACTAACATTTGTTCAAAACATCCTCTTGTTTCAGACGGCTCGTCTCCCACACACACACACACACACACATGGGCAAAAGTGGCTACAAATCACCCGAAACGAGAGGGGCTCCATGTGTCTTGGCACAGAGCCCCACCAATAATTGGTCCGTCCATGCATGGCGACACAAACATTGAAACGCAGCCAATTACTGATGTCGGGATGACATCAGAGCACATCCAATAATAATTAGTCGTCCATGCATGAGGACTGACATACTGTACTTTTTAACCCTCGGCGCGCGCATGCACAGCGAGGGTTACAGCAGTCGTTCTGTCTGTCTGTCCGTCTGTTACCACGATTTCTGCCACCACGCGCAACAAACAGGTAAAATAGCGACACCAGCTGGGTTCAGCGCAACACTGGCTATAGGCGATTTTCGTAAAAGTGCCGCGTTCAGAAGTTATGGCATGAAAACCAAGTGAACAAGCCGTATCGACTCCCGCATACTATCTACTACTGTAGCCCGTGTCAGACTCTCCGCGAGCTACTAGCGGGAGACCACGAGTAAACGTATACTAGTATAATAGGCCCAGCCCATCTATTAGCGGTACTGCGCATGCGCAGTTCGCCGAGGGTTTGCACTTTAGTGCTTTTCATTTTGAAATTTTGAACATGCCAGAATTACTGACGTTAGGATCACACCTGATGCTGTATTGCAGTAGTTTGCCTATTTGTCTTGAGGGATAACGGTTGCACGTGTCCCAATGTCATATGTATATGCATAGAGACGGAAACTCGTACTTTTTTCATACAAGCTCATATAATTATGCTCTGCATAGTGATCAGTAATGCACAATGCTGTTCCGTATGTGACTGACAAAAACGGGCGCTCAAAGGACCTTCAAAGTGTATCCTGATTACTTCACAAGACCTTTCAGTTAGTACACACGTACCAATAATGCACAACCATAGTCTATACGAGCATTCTGAGGCCAGGGATGCGTCAGAATATCATACATGTGTATGTACACGTCGTACCACTTGTTTTTTTTCCTCCTGTAGTCTTTCTCAGAGAGGTTCACCAGGTAGATGACAGGCTTGGCCGTCAGGAACAGGTGTTTGTTGAGAACTTCAATCTGAGGTGGGGGGAGTCAGTGTCACAAGGTTTTCCTCCTTCCCTCCCTCTCTAGCTATTCCCTTTAACATTCTTCCAGAGCTAGCTCCAGAGATTTATGGCTGGGGGACAATCAGCCTCACTAGGAACAAATGATCCCAAAAACAGGACGCCTACTATTTGGGGGTCAAAGTGTCCCCTGGGAACCATATTCAGGGGGACAAATGAAGAGATAGAAGGACTATGCCCCCCCTGGTTTGCTCTGGCGCAAGCCCTATGTTTCTCCCTTCTTCTCTTCATTTCTCTCCCTTACACCCTCCCACTCACCCTCTTCCTCTTCTTACACCCTCCCATTAAACCTTCTCCGTCCTCCCTCTCACTGTCTCTCACTACGTACTAATCCCCTCACTCCACTCCCCCCTCACTCCCCTCCTCCCTCACTCCCCTCCTCCCTCAATCCCCTCCTCCCCTACTCCACTCCCCCCTCAATCCCCTCCTCTCCTCACTCCCTCACTCCCTCCCTCCCTCTCACGTCGCCTGAGCTCCAGGTCCCAAATCGGATATCTTTCTTCTCCTCCTCCAGCACCTCTCTCACCTTCACCAGACACTCCTACCCACACCACACACACACACACAGACTATTATAACATCTCACATACACGGTGCTTTCTTAAGATTTTGCTCCACGAAAACGACAGTACTACACAATTGCAAGAAGCAAACATTTTTCCTGATCAGCAAAATCAATGTTGTGTCATGAAAATGTATCACTATGGCACGTGCATCTGAACGTAACATCTGCAGCTTCAGTTTGAAAACACCGCTGTTTCGACAGTTGCAGAGACAGTATTTGTACATGTATGTACCATCTCTGGCTTTCTCTTCTTGTCTCCACCGCGAGTTGCTACCTTCTCCTGGTCTGCCTATGACACACACACCCAAGACATGTATACACTTAAGATGGTACGCAACAACACACCCATACTTAAAAACCACCGTAAAAGACCCAAATTCGTAAAAACATCATCGCCGCAAAACACCCAATTAGTAACTGACGTACACATAAATGCAGTACTGAAAAAACTGTGAAATTCAAGTTTTTTTGACACACAGTAGATGGATTATGGTAATTGGCGAGCGAACCGGGTCTAACAAGTTTTCTGAACGCGGGATTTTTCTTTGTATGTGACGTAATGTTCTACTTCTAAATACACGCGGGGAAATTTGAAATTACTCACATTTGCTTGCCGACATTCTAGTTACGAGCTGTGCCCCTCTTACCATAGCCTTCTTGAGGCACTCGCCGTCTTTGAGTCTCAGCTCTTCGCTGATTATCTCCAGATCTCTGACTGGGTTTACATCCCCCTCCACGTGGGTCACATCCTCATCCTCAAATGCCCCTGTTCGTTAACACAGAGAGATTACCGGAGGAACAAAGACGAAAACAACATACACGATCTAGCATCAGGGAGGGAAAGACATACATTAACAGAAAGATGAGAAAAATGGAAATTCTACAGAGATTGGGTTCCATTCAGAAAGAAATTCCTAAGTCCTATTTTGCGCCTAATCTAAATGATCTACTGCGAGCACCCATCAAAGGTTTAGAGTGAGATTCAGGATTGGCCATTGCTAGAAACAACCAACTCTACAAAATGGAATCTGGAGAGCTCAAGCTGACAACTAAAAGTATCCTTGTTACTTCACATAAGAGTTTTGAGTTGAAATTTCATTTGTTGTTGGTTACCCAATGCATAGGCTATGAACATGGGTTACGAGCTAAGAACAATTAAAATTTCTGACCAGCAGATTCTGTGAGTCAAAATCAGTCTTGAATGAAGAACCAACCAAAATGGTATACAGATCGTGTGCCCAGAACATAACACATGCAGTAGCTCCTATAACAACCATTTTTGGGGGGAAAGACATCACATCACTTAGCTACACCAATTGAGTCAAAAGGGAGTTCCTGGCTCACACACAGAGGAGACAGAGAAACAATGGAGTAAAGACAGTGGGGGGCTGTGATACGGGAATATCTTACTGACAACATGAAAGATTGCATCACAGGCACTGATGTTGGAGAGAAAGGCATTCCCTAATCCCTGCAGGACAGGACAGCAGAACAACAGTGTAAAAATACTGACTGAAGATGGCATAGCGCAACACATACAGATCTTTCAAGAGCACATTATGCAGCATTTGTGTGATTGTAGCTCTTGTGTATTGTTTCATGCTCCCTAACTGGCATGGGAGTTTGTGTACTTTTTTTATCTCAATTTTTTCCGCAAGACGTTGCACTTGTAGAGCAACTCTGCAGACACCAGCAATGGCAGAGTTTTCTATTACGGTCTGACCTGTCCCTCGTGAGCCCCCTTCACCAGACCAGCAATGTCGACCACGTGGAGGTAGGCCGGGACACAGCTGGGCGGCTTCCAGTGCTCACACAGAAAGTCATAGCGACTATCAGGGACAGCTACCCTACGTGCAGGAGGGAAAGGAGACCATCATACCATGTTCCACAGGCAAAAGAGTAACTAAAACTTATTTTCATTGGGGTCGATGGTGCAGAATGGAAAGTTCTCAGCTGGAGCAGAAGCTTTGGTCAATACGTTGAAGAACGTGGATTTCCTGAGGAAATCAAGTCTCAGGGGTATGTATAGAGCCAGCTTGGTCGCTCACCCTACATTGGGAAGACCCACTATCCCACATTTGAGAGAGGTCCCAAAGCGACCCAGGAGAGGTCCAGGGCCTTCCACCTCCTTCTTCTTGGGCGGCATTCTCCGTCCTCCGTTCCTTTTCGATGGGAGTATGGACGGAGAAAAGAAGACGAGAGTTCTTTTTAACGCCCACTCTTTATCTAACACAAATTTTAATCCTCTGGGAGTAGTCCTTTGGAGTAATATCAGCATAAAAGCAGCATGTGCTGGTTTTGCGCCTTCTTCTGACTCGACGAGGAACGAAACCTGTGTTCACCTTTGACCGTTGCATGCATGCATGCGTGCGAGTGAAAACCTGCGCATGCGTAGATCTAGATTTAAACGTGTGCACGTGATATCCCTCGTTGTCACGGCAACAGATGAATTTCGGTAACATCATCAGCTCTGTACAAAGATCTCATAGCTTCTTTTCCAAGACAATCGGGATCAAAAGAAGGTAAAACTGTCTTACTCACATCTGTATGCCTATCCTTTCATATCAGCCGTTTCACATAGTTAGGAGAAATTTGCTCCCTCCTTGGAACCGGCCGCTGCAATGGACGTCCAGGTAGCTATCGCTCTCTCTTTCCGCTAACTGTCGCACGAAATAACTTGACCCGTGTATAATAATGATTCCCAGCCTCATCTGGGTCCAGCTGCGGCCAAGCGGAGTCGGAGAAAAGACGAAACAGTCAAGTTTTTGCCAGCCCTACCCACTGTGAGTGTTCAACAGTGCATCTCGCAGTTTGCAAGTCGATAGCTACGTATCTCCATGCTCTAGCACCGGGCAAAACCGTCATGGCAGCAGACGCAGCCCTCCTTTAAGTTGTTTTCTGGCGGCCCACCGTCCATGATGTCAGCGGGCACTTCTGGGGACCCTTGGACTACTACTGGTCTGCCTCCTCTGAAGGACAGGACTGGTACCAGACCTCTGCCACCATCCGCTGCTGAGACACTTCACACTGGTTAGTCCCTCCCTTACCTCATTCTTCACTTTCTATACTCAACTCTGCACTAGCCAATAATCTGAGGTAGTAACCTGGTATCTGTGCCAGTGCTTTACCCGCTTGTATTTACTAAATGTTGCACTTCCCACCTTTGCTACACTTACTGCATGCTCGTGAATGCAACAGGCACCAATAACTCTCTGTACACTGTGCATGTTCATCCTGTGTACACTTGCAAGCTCTCTTTCATATGGCTCTAGATTCTCTCTCTTACTCATGAAGGTAAAGTTCCCATGCATTCTTCATCGGTGGAAAAACTGTCAGTGTGTCATGTACGTATATATGTATGTGTGAAGGTCAGAAGAGGCCACGGAGTCGCTCATGGGAGCCTCAGTCCCAGCTGACCCCCATCTCCAAAAGAAGAGGAGGCGGGGCCACTGGAGTTAGACCACTCCCCCCAACCAGCAGACAACATCAGCGGTCCCAAACTGCTGGCTCAGCATTCTCCAGACCCAGGAAACAGAGAGAGCAATTCAGGAGTGCCCTCGTCAGACTCATACTGTACGTTTACAGAGTACTTCGTTTCTCCTGTTGTTCATTTTTGCTACTTTGAAAGAAAGAGTTGTTGGACTATAGGTTACCACTGTTAAAATCAATGTTGAAACACTTTAGCCAGCGCTCAATAAGTAGTTAACCAAAAAAGATTTTGCCAAATAATTTTATTGCACATGTGGTGGTAGCTACAGGTCATTTTGAGTGTTGTTGTGTATGTACAGACATGGGAAAGGAGTGGATGAGGAGGAAGAAGAGGGAAGAGAGGGGCCAGTCACTGGTCGGTCGTCTTCCCCTACCAGTGCAGATATTGACCTCCTGGTATGTAATACCAACCGCGCATGTCAACTAACCTTGCACATTATATATACAGCATCTTCATAACACTGCTTCTCGCTCATAAACATCAAAGTATTCAGATTTGCCAAGTATGCATATGCAGAGATCCATGGCTGCTTTTGTAAAAGTCAGTGATTGCTTACTTCAATAAGAAATCAGTAATTTTTAGTCAAGTTGGTGCAATCTCGATAATATGCTAAAAGGTCGAGCTACCACGCGGGAGCCCTGGCAACTAGTTTATGCTCTGATACTTCTCAACCCATGATCCATGCTACATATGTAGAATGTTTGTCTGTCATCAGCGCTACCTGTACTACATCAACAATGGAGTGGACACGGAGCACGTGGCTCCGCTGGAGGACTCCTGGATATCCAACATATTGGCCAGGGTCGGCTCTGGGACAGACCCGGCCGGGAACTCTCTCGTGACAAAGTTCTCTGGCGGTGTTGAGTTCCTCTCAGATGAAGTGAGGGAAGAATATCTCCTCTCAGTCAAGAAATCCATCGGTCAGTGCAGCAGGGGAAAAAGACACGGTGTCCTATATGGAGCCAGTTTATTTCGAGCTCGGAAAGATAAGCAACTAAACTGCTCGATAAAACAGAGAGCGTGAGGGAAGAGGGGAGGGGGGAGGGGGGAGGGAAGGGGAAAGGGATAGGATGACTAAAAAATGTGTCTATGTTTGGCTGAGTAAGTAGAGTCCTCTGCAGAATATTGTGGGCTTGTTTCTTTGGACAATTGATTGTCGTGGGTGTGGAACATTGGAAGCTACAGGTGGACACGCTAGAAATCACCAAATCTGACTAGAGGCTATGTAAAAGGCTTTAGAGAGAGGTGTGTGTTGGTTACCTTGCGACCCCTGTACTTATAATACAACCTGCATGCTGTAAATTGCCTAATGTTTATGTACTTCAGTGGACTTTGTTCTGAAAGACCCGAGGCCCAAACAGCAGACGGCGGAAGTCCCCAAGTTGCCCCACAGGCAGGAACTGGAGGTGGTTCCAAAACCCTGGAACCAAACCTTCCTCACGGCGGGGATGGCCATGTCAGAGACTCTGTTTGTCACCAACCCCACTGTGGCTGCCATGCTCAGGATCTGGCACCAGGAGTACACACACTACCGGTAATGGATACAGGATGCCGCACTGAATGGCTTACGTATACCTGTCTGCAAGAATTTTCTCCATGATCCTTTGTAGGAACATTTACATTGCAAGTTTCTCTGCAAAAATTTCCTTTACTACTGTAATTTTTCTCCCCCGTGCGGTATTGTTAATTGTAGATAACAGCTACTCAAGAAAACTTAATGCAATACTGCAATGGTTTGGTCTTTATAGAGTTTCCTATGTAGTTTGGCAAAACCTTGTATCAGTTTGTATTGAAGAACTGAGATAAATAGTAGCCAGTAAATCAAAGTGTTGAGGTGTATCAGGTGTAAAATATTATGTTTCTGTTGCTATGCCATGTCTCCCCTCTCTCTGTCTCTATGATCAGACTGGTAAACTGTGCGGGTCTCCTGAGCAGAAGCGAGGTGTACGAGATGGCCGACTTTGACCGAGTGGTCAAGAGAGACCTCGAGAGCTCCAAAACCCTCCTCACCACAAAGTATGCTCCACACTAACAGAGCCTCCAACTTTATGGATCCATCCATAATTTTACAAAATTCGTGCCCACTTTACAAACCAAAATCTGAGAAGAAGAACACTCCAAAACACTTTGCAACAATTGTTGCAAAGTGAACTGTGTATAAGTGTGCAATACGGAGAAAGAGGGCGGTAGTTATGCAAAATCTGGAAAATTCACAGACTGCATATTATGGGCGACTTTGAAGTTGTTTTTGAAGGCACTGTACATCACATTTCTACTCTCTCTATACACATGCAATGGCAAGGTCGAGTGTGGCAAAACAGGTCTGTTTGTGTTGCATGCTCCCTGCAGGTGGCTACCGGCGCTGCAGAACATCTTCTTCCTGGGAAACAAGAGGAAACAGATCCCACTGGACCACCTGGAGGCCTTCTTTGACGGCATCGCCGTGGTGATGACCAATCAGCTGCGAGAGATGACGCTGGCGAGCATAGCCGACTACCTGCATGTCTTCTGCCCTGTCAAGGTTAGAAAGCATCTGGGAAGAACTGTACAATGTTCACCTGTGGTGCTCATGCCTGTGTGTAGGAAGAGAAGTGTGCGGGGATATTCTCGGGGTTCTCGCTCAACCTTGTCGTTAGTGGCACTGTTCTCAAGTTTGAGCCCGATCCAAGTGGATTTGAGGTGAGTTGGACCTTCCTTGTCCCCTCTTCGACCTCTGCAAATGCTGAAACTTCAGACTAAGGGACACCTTTGGGACATCAAAAGTTTCCTTTGTCCTTTATTCCGAAGTAATATAATGGGGCAGAACCAACAGTCCATTGTAGAGAGGTGTCTTTTATTCTGAGATTCCACTGCATCACGCTTTCTCTTAATCTCTACGCCTCTACTAAAGGTGCTGGTGACAAACACATTTGACAAGATGCTGACAGTGGTGAACTGTGTGCCTCGTGTGGAGACAAAACTCTACCCCAACGAGGGCTCCACTCCTGCAAAACCAAACCTCTCCCCGACCATCTCTCCACAGCTACTCACTGATGCGAAAGCAAAGGTTTTTGCATGCTCATGCTCACCACCAACATCAACTACTGAAGGCCTTACGAAACTGTATGTAACGGTACAATGTTTCATAGGTCAAGGTGGTGCTGGAAGAAGGGATGAAGGGACCACAAGAACACATCAAGAGATTTGAGAAGTACCAGCCACTGATCACAAGAGAGGTATGCACACATTGTAGCTACACAGTGATCTGTAGACTCATGTTGCTGGTATATACATACTGTACTGTGTTTTATGGCAGGCAGAGGATGAGGCAGAGAAGTTCATGAAAGAAGAGCACACTTTCTTGGAGTACGAGAAGCAGGTCTACAAGTACCAGGAGCTTGTGTCTGAGCTGCAGTATGAAGTGGAGAAGGTTTGTATACATATTTGTTGGATATTCCTAGGCAACCGACATGTATGAAGCTAGGTATTAGGGGATTTTATCTGCCTATACAATCCTACATGTGCAAGAAGGGTTCATACATGCATGTCGTTTGCCTAGGGATATCCAACAAATTTGTTGCAGTACCCAGACAGGACAGCATTCGCCCTTACAGGGCTCATGCTGTCCTGTCTGGGCACTATGTACATAGGTCACAATCCTCATCAATAATAGACTACACTTCACCATAATTTCCAAGTTATTCACCCATGTTGTATGCACAACAATGTGTCCTATTATCATCCTCAGTCAGTGCCTTCAACTAATACGGTATATACAGATCCATCTGCTCTTTAATGAATTTCATAGAGTACAGGCAAAACAATAGCATACGAAAAAGGTACATATTGCTATGTTACAACAAAGTGAGGGTTTCGTGGGGGGAAACGAAAAAATTATGGTGCCTCACGGATCTTTTGATCAGTGTGCACTCCACGTGTTGTACATTTGACATGTCTATTAATACAGCTGGTTCCACTGGGTCTGTTTGAGCTCCACTGTGACGAGGCAGTTCGCAGTCTGGCCAAGAGGGCCTCTGACATCATAACCCAGCTCCTGACTCGCATGGCTCAGGAAAACCAGAGACTCAACCAGCAGTGAGTGGTGGTGGTGCAGCACTCTATGCTACCCACTGCATGTTGCGTTATTGGCTCTACCATCGAATATCGTAGGCATGGTAGTATTTGCTAACTTGCCTGTAGTTGTAATCAACTTGATACGATATAGAGGCACATCGAAGTATGTGTAAAAGTAGCTGGGTGTGAAGTCACTTTCACCAAGATTAATTTTGGTAATGGTATATATGTACTAGAACTGGCGTGTCTAATTAATTGTGATGTTTGTTAACATTAGGTCCCTGGGGCCTTTTCCCACTATAACTCTATAAGATGGCCAAATCTGTGGGCCTTCATAACTTGAAGTGAAGGTCAACTTAACACTTGGTTTTCTTTTTCTGTCCTTTTGAAAGAGTGTAGGTATCATATAGGCACCAGTGTATCTCCATACAAGAGATGACTTTGAATAAGGACTTTTGAATCTTTGATGCACCCAAGGTTGCCTTGTTCAGATGAAACCCTGTCCCCACAGACTGCGCAAGGAGTATGAGGCCATAGCCGACAAGGCCCTGACCACGCCCACAGACACGGAGCACCTGATGGCTCTGAAAGAGGAGATGTCGGCCGCCACGGAGAAGACTCTGCCTCAGCTGGAGACCAGAGTCATCGAGGCCAGACACAGGTGAGGTCCCACTACACCCTTCCTTGTGCATGTATGTTGTCAGAGACGGAAAACACTTTCATGATTCAGTGGCAAACTAGAGAAAACCTTTGCGGATTGCATGTTCCTCCCTACAAATGGTCAAATTCACAGTGCTTTTGGCTCCAAAACCGCCTCGAAATGTTGCTGCAGTACATCACTAATGAAGGGAGAAGAGTTCACAAGTCATATGACAGTCCTTACAGGATGCATACGTACTACCAACTCTATGCTGAGCATGCTCGTTAAAGAGATGTGTGTAAGCTACTTGTGTCTTGCGTTCTGTCTGACAGAGTGGAATTCTTATTGGAGCACACGACAGTGTCCCACTCTGAGGTGAAGCTGAATGTGGACACCTTCCGCTGGCTGGAGAGGATCCCTCCCATCCTGGAGGAACACAATGACATCATCACACGCAGTCGCAAAGAGAAAGAGGACGCCCTCAAGGTCAGCCAATTCATCTTTGAACGGTTAAGCTAGAACGACATTTTAATGCAGTGAGTGACCTGCAGCAACTATTGCGAAATTTCTGTTACGTGCATATGAATCACGTATGACATTCATAGAAAGATGACTAGTTACAAGTTTGCTTTGCTCGCAAAAATAAGCATACACGTACGTACTACAGTCAACAATTAGGTTGCATGGCAGCTTCTATGCTATACCCAGGACAAATCAAGCTGGCCTACATATAGTGAGTGGGATTTGAACAAACGACCCTCAGTCTGTAGTCTAGCTCACAGGGTAGCTCAACTGACAGGCCCACTACGATATACGAAACAACAACCTCCAGTAACTGTGCTACGGGACACACACCATGACGACAAACTTGCACCGTGTGTGTGTGTGTTGTACAGTTCCGCAGGGATCGGTTCAAGGCGGAGCTGGAGAGCTACGAGAAGCAGCTCAAGGAGTTTGAGACGTTCGGGGACCTCCAGGAGGTCCGCCGCTACCAGAAGAAGGCCCAGGCCATGAAGACCCGGCTGGACGAGGCCCTGGAGAAGATCGAGGGTTTCAACACCGAGGAGGATGCCTTTGACTGGGAGAGGTCGCAGTACCCTCAGAGGAACAAGCTGGTCAACACTCTGGACCCCTACCACAAGCTGTATAGCACCATCATCGAGTTCCAGAACAAACACGAGTGAGGGCCAGCATTATTATAGGGGAAGTTGGGTACTTGTGTGGGAGTCACTTGTGTACAGTCTAACAAGGACATTGAGGTTCTCCTTGTCGGCTGCTTGTTTTCATTCAGTTCCAGGATAACCGGCACTATTATTGAGGGAGTCCAGAGTTGCACATACATAGGATTTCTTCTGGGGGGGAGGGGGGGGGTCGGGTGGGCAACCGCTAATAATGTATCTACCTGGGCCCGCGAAAAATATTTTTACACACACGACAGAAGTTGTATATGTACACCATTTTGAAGAGTCTTGGGGCATCTTTTGTGAGGGAAGTGCATTCTGGCCACATGCAACATCTTTAACTTACGTATGCATAATCATTTGCCTAATTCTGGTGGAAACTCAACCCGGGGGGAGGGGCAGTGCCCGCCATCTGTATACCACCCTGGAGTCACTTATGTACATTCTTACAAACACTTTAGGGTTCTCCTTGTCCTCTGCTTGCTTTTAAAGAGTGTATACCTTTTGCACACACTGCTGTCACTATAGCGGGTGGATGGATGGTCCGATGAGCGGGGTGGACCCCGATCAGGTGGAGAATGATGTGGGGAGCATGTGGAGGACCCTCTACAAGATGGAAAAGTCCTTATCAGAGTACCCCAACCCTCTCAAGATGGCTCAGAAAGTATGTACATACACAGACCTTATAGAGAGCACTGACATTAATTGAACCTCTATCTATACGTGCACTCGTAATGAAACCTCTGAATAAGGGACACCGTAGGGACTGTTGAAAGTGTCCTCTATTCAGAGCTGTCCTTTATTCGGAGGTAGTATAATACACTAACATATGGGGCAAAACCACGTGTCCCAATTATTATAGAGAGGGGTCCTTTATTCAGAGGTTCACTGTATATATACAGAAAGATTCACTAGTACTACACTGTACACATGTGGTACACTGCGACTATTTTCTTCATCAATCTCCCAGACCAAGACTCGTGTGGACAACTTCAAGGAGCTGCAGGGTCTGATAGCAGCTCTCTTCAACCCAGGTCTCCGGGGACCGTCACTGGGAGAAGATGAGCTCCATCGCTGGACAAGACCTCCACCCCACTGAGGTTTGTATATATGCTGCTGGGTTGTGACATCCCCAATCTCATCTGCATTGTTTTAACTGAGTCAAGTATCATTGGGAATTTTGAGACAATCCAGCGATAATCTTGAGTGTCCCATCTTTATAGCAAACTTGAAATAAGTTTGCAAACACACCACGACATTACATTATAATAGTTGCTAGCTTTTGACATCATCACACAAGACACATTTGCATGCTAGTGCAAACCATTTTTACGTCTCTACAAATGTCAAATGTTCGATTAAGCCGAATGATCGAGTAGCCTTATTTGATCACTGGAGAAGTGTGTGAATCTAATTTTCTTGAGTACCCATATGTGAACTTTCTTCACAACCAGTAACCAGTGGAGCATCAGTCCAGCAATGTACAGTAGTGGAATAAGGCTACCAACTCCTGCTAGTATCAGGTGTAGGACCCTGTCAACCAAATCTGACCCTCTATCCAGTAGTGCACCATCCAACAATGCAGCATACCACAACAGGAGACCAAAGAGGAGTATCATGTCTTGTTTCAGGTGTGCCTGTTTCTTGTATGGCTGGGTAATGGCCAGTAGTGCCATGTAGAAAGCAACGCCGACTACCATGAACAAATAGTTGAGGTGGTGGTGGTACCGCGACAATTCAAGAGGAAACACAGTGGTACACCTCATCAAAATGCCCAATCCAGCAAACCAGCGATAGTCTCTAGTGCCACCTGTCCCATCTTTATAGCAGCCTTGAAACGAGTCTGCAAACACGTGTAGGAGATGGCACTGCCACCCACGATTGTTGAGGAAAGTCTGGAAACATCTTGAGGGGTAGAGAAAGAGCAGCAAGAGTGGAACAAGGATGAGGAAAAACGAAAACAAGAAAGCTATCAGAGCATATGGAAGATGGTGCCACCCAAAGTACTCCATGGTAGGGTCAAGGTACACAAACACGCTGCGATTTCCATAGGGAGAATACACATACAGTGGTTGAAGGATGAAAGAGGAAGTGAATATGACTTTGTTGACTGAGAGAATGATGAATGTTGCAAAAGCATCAACCAGTGAACTTCGAATGTCTATGGATCTTCTCAATCGGGCTAGACATGTGTGGACTGGTCTGCAGACCCAGAAAATAGCTCTGTTACCACGATCATAGAGTTTGACACTGTAGTAAGCTAAAAGGACCATCAGCAGTGGAAATATAGCAATTAAATACTCCAACAGTACAGCATGTAAAGTGGTCATGTGCGGACTAAGGCATATTTGGGGATAAAACGAACGGAGAATGTCGAGATTCCACAGACCATAGAACCCTGAAAAAAGCCTCCAGGCAGTGTTGTGAGCATTGCGGTTGAAAAGCCTAACTTTCTTGTGTGAAACGGGTAAATATGCGTACTGCAAAATTGGTGGTAGGGCATTGAATTGACTGACAAGAACAAAAGTGCTCATGGGAGGTCTGGCAATGCTTACCCTCAATATCATGACCGTGAGGCAGAAAACACTCAGTAGTAAAAACGATGCAAGAAAGAGCAAAACTGGTTGTTTCGATGGACATGGGATGCATTGGATTTCATATGAGTAAACAAGAGGGCCAAATCCATCCATACACTTGGAGCAGAGGACCCCGGTTCTCTTCCACAGCTCACTACACATGTGGTAGTCCAGTTCAGCTGGGTCAGAGTACCAGCTGCCTCTCGCGACGCAGGAATAGCGACATCCTCCAACCACAGTCTCATTGCTTCGTCCCGATGTCATACAATAGCAGTCTGTGAGTTGAAGTTTCCCGAACTGTTCATCTGGACAGCTGACAATTCCATTCAGAGAACTTCCACAGGTGCAGTTGGCACCATCACTGCCTTTTGGGATGAACCAAGGAGTACAGCCCTCATCAGCTCTTGCCCTGGACATAGCTAGCAATAGTTGTACCAGCATTGTGATGTAGGCTAGGAGAGAAGTCATTCTGCACTCACCAACACTGTTATGTATATACAATACCTTGTTTGAAAATTTCTGTTTATCTTGTATACCGCTTTCAGTCACGAATTCGGCTTCTGCGCCCGATCGACGTTGTCAAGGTGATATTTATGACTACAGATTCTCCTACAATGCAGCACTCAGTATCCAATGATTCTGTAGAACAGTCCACAGTCACAGAGGCTCACAAAGCGACAAAATGTGCTTACTAGCCTATATTGCAGGCCACTGCCTGGAACACAAAGTGAAGAAAACGGTAGCTGTCCCCCTCGGTTCATCCCACAAGACAGTGATGGTGCCTACTGCATCTGCGGAAGTTCTCTGAATGGAATTGTCAGCTACCCAGAAGACAAAAACAGAAGAATTGGGCTAATGAAGTGTGTTATTGCATGACATCAGGTATGTAAAAGAACTGTAAGTGGGAGTTGCCAATACACTTGTCATAAGTTGTGAGTGGTATATATTATTCAGACCCAGCTAAACTGGACTATAGGATTACATGTGTAGTGAGCTGTGGAAGAGAACGTGTCTACTCAAGTGATGCCAAAGACTACAGGAATGATGCACCTTGTAAACGATATATTCAGAAACAGAAGATTTATCCAAAAACTGACGAACCCTTTGGCTTTCGGTCACGAAACGTTGCAGTCGGAGCTTTGATGTTGCTTCCCTTCATTTAGTACCTTTCAGTAAAAAAAAGCAAAAAGGTCCGGATTGTGTGTGTGGCACAGACTGAGAGATTGAGCGCGCGCACGGGCGCGCAGAAAGATCGCCACAGCGCGCGTGCGCGGGATGAAAGGGGTGTGTCGATTTGGGCAGAATCACGCAATGCGTGCGCGCAAGAGAGTCAGCTAGCCAGCTTTTAACTCCTGACACTGTAAATCCACACCAATTAATTGCTTGACAGTGGAGATCTCAACCCTTTAGTCCTTCATAATGGACATTCATCAGACAGTCAGCAACAGTCTGGGAGAGAGCTGGGCACAAATTTAGTATGTAAATCCCCACTAGATGTACACTAGCCACACTCAAAATGGCAGCCAATGGTGTGCCACACCCCCATTAAAACAGACAAGTGCTAATGACAAATCAGATTAACGACATTAATTGCGTATGCACCTACCCAAACAGTAACAAACGGTGAACACACATACAAAACCAGGGCACATAGAGAGTCAATAGCTACCACCTACGGGCACTAGTCCCTTTCGTTGAGTCTGGGTTGTGTGTACAACAATAAGACTTTCCCATAAAGAAAAGGACATACAAAGATGTATAACAATGCACCAATTGCCAAGCCAGAAATTCACATTCAATTCTCAAGCAGCCTTGTTCGCTCTGCAGAGAAGTGAGTTTTTCTTAGTAGCCACACATGCACCTTCTTCACTACCAGTAGCCAGTGGATAATCACTCCGGCAATATAGAAGGCAGGAACCAGAGAACCAACTACCAAGATGATCATGTGTAGAACTATGTCAAACAAATCCCAACCTGTCCCGCTCAGTGCACCGTCCAACATGGCAGTATGCCACAACAGGAGACCAAAGAGGAGTATCATGTCTTGTTTCAGGTGTGCAGGTTTCTTGTATGGCTGGGTAATGGCCAGTAGTGCCATGTACAGAGCAACACCAACTATCATGAATGAATAAGTCAGCAGTTGTCGGTACCTTGTCAGCTCTAAATGAAGAACAGCGACAAACCTCATAAGGATGTTTACTCCAGCAAACCAGCGATAGTCTCTAGTGCCACCTGTCCCATCTTTATAGCAGCCTTGAAATGAGTCTGCAAACACGTGTAGGAGATGGCACTGCCACCCACGATTGTTGAGGAAAGTCTGGAAACGTCTTGAGGGGTAGAGAAAGAGTAGCAGGAGTGGTAAGAAGATGAGTGCAAAGATGAATATGAGAGCAGTCAGAGCATATGGAAGATGGTGCCACCCAAAGTACTCCAAGGTAGGGTCAAGGTACACAAAGACGCTGTGATTTCCATACGGAGAATACACATACACTGCTTGAAGGATGGAAACTGAGGTGTAGCCAACTTTGTTGACTGAGAGAATAATGAATGTTGCAAAAGCATCGACAAGCGAAGTGCGAATGTCTATGGATCTTCTCAATCGGGCTAGACATGTGTGGACTGGCCTGCAGACCCAGAAAATAGCTCTGTTACCACGATCATAGAGTTTGACACTGTAGTAAGCTAAAAGGACCATCAGCAGAGGAAATATAGCAATTACATACTCCAACAGTACAGCATGTAAAGTGGTCATGTGCGGACTAAGGCAGATCTGAGGCAGAAATGAACGGAGAATGTCAAGATTCCACAGACCATAGAACATTGCAAACAGACTCCATACTGCATGGTGTGCAGAGTTAGTGATTATTGATGGGTAGCCAGGAATGAAGATGTATTGCAGAATACGTGGCGCAGCCATGACTTGACTGACAAGAACAAAAGTGCTCATAGGAGGTCTGGCAATGCTTATTCTCAATATCATGACCGTGAGGCAGAAAATCGTCAGTAGTAAAAACGATGCTAAAAAGAGCAAATGTGAGTTTTTCGACGGGCATGGGATACATTGGATTCCATATGAGTAAACAAGAGGGCCGTATCCATCCATACACTCGGAGCAGAGGACCCCAGTTCTCTTCCACAGCTCACTACATGTGTGGTAGTCCAGTTCAGCTGGGTCAGAGTACCACTCCGATCTCAGAACGCAAGTGTAGGGGCACTTCCCAACCACAATGTCATTCTGCTCCCCTGATGTCATGCAGTAACATCTAGTCAGTGTGACTTTCTTCTGTTGTTCGTCTGAGCAAGCAACTACTCCTCTTAGAGAGTTCCCACAAGTACAATTATTTCCATCTCCATTTATGAACCAGGGAGGACAGCTCCTGCTCTCATAATATTCCAGTGGTTGACTCGGGACACATGTGAAACACACTAGTAGCACCAGCACAGTAACGAGTGACTGTATTAGATAGATCATTTTTCTGTTTTGTGAGCCTCTGTGACTGGTAGGTGTCTGTTTTATAGTAACACATCTGTGGTTTGTGTGTAAACTGAAGGGGTAAATAAAGGACTTTCAGTTTAAAACTGCAAGGCTTTTTGTTTAAGTTGTGGATAACACTGCAGCCTGCAAAATACCACCTCGTGCTAGAAAGACACTTTCAGAGTTATGGTCTTGTTTGGGACATAAATGCAGCTAAACTGTTTCAGTATTGTTTATTACTCATTCCCAGGCCTTTCCCGCTTTCTTGGAGTAAGTAAGTAGGTGGGTAAGTGGGATACCTGCAGTGGATCGAGAAGGCCTGGAAATGAGACTAATATGATAGCTGCGTGTTTGAATTCACAACAGCCATGTACGACATATAGAATCACACACAGAGATGCATACATGGGTTGGATATACGTTGGTCTGTACTCTCAGGACTCGAGCCTGCGTAAGTATGTTGAGATGAACCTGGAGACTCACCTGGAGCAGTTTGAGAACATCAGCGAGGCAGCCAGCAAGGAGTTTAGCCTCGAGAAGGCCATGAACAGGATGATGGAGGAGTGGGGAGCGGTAAGTTCACACTCATACACAAGTCTACTAAAGGCCAAGATACACACTTCAACATATTTGCGTGAGACATGCAACTTCAAATGTGTGGGTATATGATGGGTCCACGCAACATGTAACGCTGCATGCAATAGAAATGTTTTGTATTGGGCTATCTCATACCCATACATTTGAAGTTGCATGCAACTTATAACAAAGTTGCACCGTGTATCATGGCCTTATGATCATGTGTTTTCAGTTCTGCTTTGCTCTCTGTCTGCTCATGTCCCTATTTCTTTCACACACTCTCCCTCTCTCATCCTTCCCTGTGTTCTAGGTGGAGTTCATTCTGATAAGCTATCGTGAGACGGGCACAAAGATACTCTCCTCCATTGACGACATTCAGAATCTGCTAGACGACCACATCGTCAAGACACAGACAATGATGGGGTCTCCTTTCATCAGACCCTTTGATGAAGAGATCAAGTCAGTGTATACCCTTGCAACTAAGAAAGGGCACTATAAACATTCTTGCCATCCAGTGGTTACTAAGAACTGGACTTTACACCCCACCTAGTTGCACTGCAAATGACATTGACCGAAGTGTGTGTATAGTTATATCAACACTTTTCACAGCCTCGGAACCTGGTGTATACACGTGTGCATGCGTGGAATAATTATACCTGGGCAATCTCTGTGAAAACGGACAAGTCAAGTCATGGCCTCACCGCATACATTGGGAGATCGCTCACTCACAATTATTATTCTGTGCATGCACACGTTTACAGGTAAATAGGGCTCCGAGGGTACACTTTACACAGGATATCCCATGTGTCTTTGGTCATTGACTGCATGTGCATATGGTGGGTCACCCCATACACAGGGAGTGGGAAGGGAAGCTGCTGTTGGTGCAGGAGATTCTCGACGAGTGGCTCAAGGTCCAGGCCACCTGGCTCTATTTGGAGCCCATCTTCTCCTCACCGGACATCATGGCCCAGATGCCAGAGGAGGGACGCAGGTTCAACCAGGTGGACAAGAACTGGAGAGACATCATGAAACAGGCTGACCCGGTGAGCTGTACCACAGTCACATCTTACCCTGTCACATGCCCATGAACTCATAGAGAGATCTATGACATTAACAAGTCACGTAAACTGATACTGATTAAATATGCACACTTAGCTATGTATGTACATCTCTCCCTGTCCCCTTTCATGTGTTTCATGCCCGTGAAGCCTAGAGGGATCTATGAATAGGTTACTACATTAAAAATTCATCTTTGAGGATCATTGTTCTGACCCTGTCTTGCCAGGACACCCATGTGCTGGTGGTTATCACGATCGACAAGATGTTGGAACGACTCAAGAAGTCCAACGAACTTCTCGAACTCATCATCAAGGTCTGCTGCAGTCTCACCGCGCACACACACACACACACCCTCACCATACCATGTGCAGAGCTAAAATACCGCTCCCATAGAAATGAATGCAAACAAACTAAACATAGTAGAATTCAACCATGTGTTCAGTAGTACTAGTGTTCGTTTCTCGTCTGGTTTTTTCTTTTTTTTGCTCAGGGGGGGGGGGGTTTCGCCCACCCAGCACACTCCTCCCCACTCATTAACTTATGTGTGTGATTCCTTTATCTTATCACAGGGTCTCAATGAGTATCTGGAGAAGAAACGACTCTACTTCCCGAGGTTCTTCTTCCTCTCCAATGACGAGATGCTCGAGATTCTCTCAGAGACCAAGGACCCGACTAGGTCTGAGCTCAATACTCATCCTCCCCGTATTTCATTGTGTTGATTGTATGATTAAAGGGTTCAGCCGCATTTGAAGAAGTGTTTTGAGGGTATTGCTCGTCTGACGTTCACCAAGGATTTGGACATAACCCAGATGAGGAGCACAGAGGGAGAAGTGAGTACGGGATACTAGCGATTGAGCATTTATGTATGTTGTATGTACAACTGAAGACACTAGTGGCATAGTTGATAAAACAACATCTACGCTCTAAGAAGGTGTCCCACCTTATATATAGCTTTTATACCACAGTAGTATATGTAGCTATAGTAGTTTTCCTTGGAACTGCAGGATAGTTGCTTTTGAGGCTGGTTTGATACCCTATTTTTCTTCACCTATACATGTCCATAAATAAGTTTGAACTTGACGGTTTACTTCACCCCTAATTTCCTTCGCTGATTGCAGGAGGTTCCCCTGAATAAGGTGATCTCTACCTCAGAGGCCAGAGGACAGGTTGAGAAGTGGCTGCTGCAGCTGGAAGGGATCATGGTCTCCAGTATACACATGGTGAGTGCAGTACAGGCTTAATCACAGCTTTCATGTCACTCTGCATAGAAATAATGGAAATGGGTATCGTAGTATAAAGGGATGGGCATGGCACCTATAGTATCACACGTACAAAGAGGTGACTTAGCAGTACTATCCATACCCTCCACACAGGTGATTGAGAAGGCTCTGGTTTCCTATGCCGAGGTTCCTCGAGTGGAGTGGGTGGTGGGCTGGCCAGGCCAGGCCGTACTCTGCGTGTCTCAGAAGTACTGGACTGCTTTTGTCCACGAGGCCATCAGGGGCGGACAAAAGGTGATTGACGCAGTACACCCACTATGAACAAAGGCCTGGAACTCTCTGACTGCACTTACATGTAGTCGTATGTCCGCCGAATAATGGACGGATCCTCTCTTGGAGCACCAGAAAAGTGAACGTTTGGGACCTCAAAGTGCTTATTGAGAGGTCTATTTGGTCCTTTATTTGGAATATCCTCTATCGTATTCTCCTGTACTAGTTCCCCTTATGTACAGCCCTAAGAGTGGTTCATCAGTAGCTGTATTAGCGCTACCTGTAGAACACTGTTTCTGTAACTGTCCCACAGGCCTTGGAAGACTACCTGGAGGTAAACAACAAGCAGATCGACGACATTGTCAAGATGGTGAGAGGGAAGCTTAGCAAGCAGAACAGGACCACCCTCGGGGCTCTGGTGGTACTGGATGTCCACTCCAGGGATGTCCTGGCCAAACTTGTCGCTGACAGTGAGTCTCCATTCCATTCTTGCCAGTAGCTCTCTGTGGCAAAATAATGTTCTGTTCCATCTTCTCTTCCTCTAATTTTTGTATGACATGAGCTTATGTAATGTGTATTTCACGTGAATCAGGGGGTGTAAACACAAGGCAAGTGCATATCAACTAGCTATACACCTAGGACAACACTTTGTAAGAGATGCCCTAGGTGGGACTTGAACCCCTGTATAAGATCACAGATTGTGTTCTGTGTAATCAGAGAACAGACAATGTACTCGAGGGAGCAAAATCGTATCTGTGTGTGTGTGTGTGTGTGTGTGCGTGCTCCTTACAGAGGTATCGAGTGAGATGGACTTCAACTGGCTGAGTCAGATGAGGTACTATTGGGAGGAGGAGCACATCATGACTCGGATGATCAACTCCCAGCTGGCCTATGGCTACGAGTACCTCGGAAACTCTGCCAGACTCGTCATAACTCCACTGACTGACAGGTGGACATGCCTACGTACCTTGCGCATAACTACACTTTGCTTCATTTCATCTCTTTGTCGACTGTGACTGAGCCTGACAATCTCCCCATGCATACACGATATACATGAGTTAGCCATGAGTATGGATACCACACATGCACACTCATCTCTATTAGTAGTATAGCAAAAACATGTAATCCATTATGGTGCAGAAAGAAATGATTACACTTCATTACACGAGTCGAAAACGAGTTTTATCGGTACACCTCTTATCTGTATGCATCCACAGGTGCTATCGTACTCTATTTGGAGCTCTCCATCTCCACCTGGGCGGGGCTCCTGAGGGCCCGGCTGGCACGGGCAAGACAGAGACAGTGAAAGATCTGGCCAAAGCTGTAGCCAAGCAGGTACAATACTAACTGCGCTTAGTAAGCATGCACGGTATGAAAGGGAATGTGGCAGCATAAAAGAGGCTAAATTTAGAAACGTTACTAAAATGGGAGCGTATTTGCATTCTTGTACTGTTTAGTTCCACCGTTAGTAACATTCCTTATGTACTGCCGCATTCCCTTTAAGAGTTAATGATACGGTAGTATGCACTCGTCTCTATGTGATATATAGTGTGTGGTGTTCAACTGCTCTGATGGACTGGACTACATAGCTCTCGGGAAGTTCTTCAAGGGACTGGCATCGTGCGGTGCCTGGTCGTGCTTCGACGAGTTCAACCGCATCGACCTGGAGGTGCTGTCAGTGGTGGCCCAGCAGATCATGACGATCCAGCGAGGGATCAGCTCTGGGAGCAACACTCTCCTCTTTGAGGGCACAGAGATCAAGCTGGACCCCACTTGCGCCGTGTTCATCACAATGAACCCTGGATATGCAGGTGTGGTCATTGATTGTGTGATGAGGACCTCAGAGAACGAGAAAACTAGTTACTTATAAAAACTCATTCTTGTTGTATTATGGTGATTGAACGCGAGTACTTCAAGTTTCCGCATCCACATGAAAAATTACGATATTTGTGCAGTGGTAGTGCCCGTCACATACATATTATATAAAAATCCCGCATTGAGACAACTAGTAGGTAAACTCGCTTCGCTTGCCAATCAATTCTCTTTAGGTCGAATCATTTAGTGGATGGTTAAGGTTGTTTCATACAAGTTTCTGAGTTATACTACTGTTGCATTTACTGTATGTGCACAAACACAGGTCGTTCAGAGCTCCCAGATAATCTGAAGGCTCTGTTTCGAACGGTGGCCATGATGGTGCCAGACTACGCCATGATTGCAGAGATTGTGCTCTACTCGTGCGGGTTTGTCAACGCCAGACCGCTCTCGGTCAAGATTGTAGCCACGTACCGACTCTGCTCGGAGCAGCTCTCCTCCCAGCACCACTACGACTATGGGATGAGGGCCGTCAAGTCTGTCTTGACTGCTGCAGGAAACTTGAAGGTAATGCAAGAGTTTACAAAGACTTGCATTTCACAACTACTCTCCCTCTTTCTTTTTCCCCTTTTGTACTGTATGACTAGACAAAGAACTTTAATGAATTGTATAAAAGCAAACTATATCTAGTAAAAGTGCAGTCGTTCTGTGTGATTGGTGCACAAATACAGTACTTGTGACTACGTACAATACATGAAATTCACAAATACCTTTTGTGTTTCAGTACATATGGTACATATACCACCATCTCCCATTATGCTGCAGCTAAAGTACCCAGATGAGAACGAAGACATCCTCATGCTCAGATCAATCACAGACGTCAACCTGCCCAAGTTCCTGTCCCACGATCTCCCTCTGTTTGAGGGAATCACGTCGGATCTGTTTCCCGGCGTGAAGCTCCCTGAGCCTGACTACTCCATCCTGGCCCCTGCCTGCCGCGCCGCCTGCGAGAGGATGAACCTCCAGTGTACCAAGATCTTTCTGGTGAGTCTCTCAACTTTCTCTATATACCAAGTATGTATATACTTATCCTCAATATGCCCATAAGCCATTGGTCTATGAGCTTGTTAGTGCATTACACTGGTTAGTCAGTTTGACTTGATTTTAATGGAATGTCGCAGTATTATAGGGGCCTAATTTAGAAATGTTACTCAAAACGGAAACCTAATCGCCCCCTTGCACATTGTTAGTCCCATCTTTACTCCTTAAATACTGACACACACTACAAAGGTGTTCTTCCTTTAAACAGTCTTGAAGCTGTTACTCGAGCTCCTGTGTTAGTTACTGAACTGTTGGCTATACACATGCATGACCACAGGACAAGGCACTGCAGATCTATGAGATGATGATTGTCCGTCACGGTTTCATGATTGTTGGGGAGCCGTTTGGAGGCAAGACCTCTGCATACAGAGTTCTTGCTTCAGCTCTCACGGAAATCTGCGAGAAGGTGTGATAACACTACCACTCACTTGCTACACATCATGAATCCCATCCCTTTCATCTTCCCCTCTCGTTTCTACCACATTTGTCTACTGTGAATGTATTGTAGACGTTGTCATGCCAAACAGTCCTGTATTTCACACTCCCCCCTCTCTTTCCTTTTGTAATACCATATATCCAGACCAAAACTTTCACGAATTGCATAAAAGCAACCGTTTGTTAAAGAGTGTAGTCATGCATTGTGGTCCAAACCAGTACTGATGGAAAGTCTGTGTACGTATTTCCTAAACCTCTCTTACAAACTTCCCTAATGTCCTCTGCCTACACAGGGTCTGATGGGTGAAAACAAGGTCCAGATCATAGTCATCAACCCGAAATCAATCACCATGGGGCAGCTGTACGGGAGATTCGACCCAGTCTCCCACGAGTGGTCCGATGGAATCCTCGCCGTCAGCTACAAGACTTTTGCCAACTCTAGCACACCGGACCGCAAGTGGCTCATTTTCGACGGGCCGGTGGATGCCATCTGGATCGAGAACATGAACACTGTGCTGGATGACAACAAGAAGCTGTGTCTGATGAGTGGAGAGATCATCCAGCTCTCTCCCACCACCAACCTCATCTTTGAGCCCATAGACCTCGAAGTCGCCTCACCTGCTACAGTGCGTTGCTTAAGGCCAAGATACACCATGCATGCCACTTTGTTGCGTGAGAAACAGTTGCATGCAACTTCAAATGTGTGGGTATATGATAGAACTTGCAACAAAGTTGGAAGAAATATAAATCATTTGCGTGGACCCATCATACCCGTACATTTGAGGTTGCATGCAACTTTGTCCCACGCAACAAAGTTGCATCGTGTATCATGACTTTAGATAGAGGGAAATCACTAGGTATGATAGTATTTAGGGATTAGAGATTTTTTGTGTAGCATCACACATGTGGCAGCTCATTTTTATGGTTCTTGGTTGGTGTCTAGAGCAGTTGGTACCGTAATTCACGAGTGTGTATTGTCTGTTGCAGGTGTCCAGGTGTGGTATGGTATACATGGAGCCAGACATGCTGGGTTGGGACCCTCTCCTCACCTCCTGGCTCAACACCCTCCCTCCCACATTCACCGAGTCCCTCAGAGAGCTCATTGTCTCACTGTACCACCGCATGGTCCCCTCCTCCCTCGACTTTGTACGCAAGTCGGGTTTCAAGGTAGGTATATACTGATCATATCCATCAAACATAGTTTTCTTTTAGAAGGCACAGTATTAGCTGCTAAGGTGGACAGGGTATTTTCATAGAGGAAAAGGGGAAAGTGGGAATGTCCCCCTAATATCACCTAGTATAAAAGGGTTACACACCAGAGTCATGTTTGGGATCTATACCCACAGCTGTGTCCCCCCTTCCTATGAAAAATGTACAGTATAGAATTGTGGAATACCAGCTCTATCTTGAGCAATTTGCATTCTTTTCAGGAGCTGTCTCCTACGACAGATGCCAACCTGACTCGCTCGCTCATGAATATTCATGAGAGTCTCCTGGATGAGTTCAAGGACGAGGCAAAGTTCAACCAGCTGGGTCTCACCGACGAGCAAAAAGAGGCCTGGATCATGGTCAGTTTTACATCTGACAATGCACTGACTGTGAGATTGCACCATACCACTGTGTGTATGGATGAACAGTTTGTTGTAATAGACACTGTGAACAGTTTTGGTATTCGCACATCATTTTTAACTGAAAACTGTATGACTTTGTTTTTTCATCAATTAGAATTTGTTGAAATAAGTATTCTCCTAGTCAACTCTTTACGTATTGTAAACTTCCTCAACTTGCCATCTCGGTGTGTGTTTATTTCACCCAAACACACTAGGGGACGTTTCTGTTTGGCATGGTGTGGTCCATTGGAGGCAGTGTGGGAATCAAAGGCAGGAAGGCCTTCAACCTACTCCTGAGAGAGATCGTCCAGGGCCCCCTCTTGCCAAAGACAAAGTCAGACACTATCCACCACCACTATAGAGTTGATTATTCCTTGTCTTGTGTAATTCAGTTGTCTTAGTTTCTTTCTCTGTCATTACCTACTCAGATCTCTCTACCACCTCTATGAGAAGTGTGAAGCTCCCAAAAAGCCGTTTCCCGTCCCTTTCCCCGAAGAAGGGGAGGTGTACGATTACGAGTTCGTCAAGGAGGGGCTGGGGAAGTGGGTGGCCTGGTCCACAAAGTTGGCTGATGCTAAACCCATTCCAAAAGACGCCCAGTTTAACTCTATCATCATTCCCACTGTTGATACAATTCGAACCACCTACCTCATGGATGTGTGCGTGAAACACGAAAAGCCGTGTCTCTTCGTGGGTCCCACGGGCACTGGAAAGTCCGTCTACATACAGGTGAGGCCAGGGATAGCTTCAGGACAGTATTACCTAAGAAGAACATGTTTTAATGCATGTACAGTGGAACCTTGCTAATCCAAGCCTATGAAATGAAGCAATCTTGCTAACGAATTGGTCAACCTGTACGTGTATGTATGCTTACCACAAAATATAATGCAGCCACCTTGCTAATCAAGGCTCTTATGCAAGTCCCAATTGTGGCTGGAACAGCTAGTAAATGGGTGTGTACAGGGTTAATATGCACAAAGCGAAAATTTTCAGTTTACACCGCGCCTGTCACTAGTGTAGCTGTGGCACTTATCCTTGTACATGTGTGTACTTTAATAGAGAGCTGCAGACCAAATGCATGTGGTTCCAATCTGAATATCTACTTTTGGCAGGATTACATATTGAACCGGCTGCCCAAGGAGACATACAAGCCAGTCATGATCAACTTCTCGGCGCAGACCTCGGCCAACCAGACCCAGAACATCATCCTCTCCAAGCTGGACAAGAGACGCAAGGGACTGTTTGGACCTCCCATGGGCTGCAAGACTGTGAGGAAATACCCACCAGCTCTTTATCCACACACACACACTCAAACTGTATCAATATTAACTAAAAAGCAAAAAAGGCTTGTGTCTGCTACTACAGAGGCACTAGGTCATAGAATTGAGGCCGAATTAATACATGTCAGTTAAAAGACTTTTATGCATCATGTATTGAACAGAGGTCTAATATTTCTGTGCACAGATTGTGTTTGTGGATGACCTGAACATGCCAACCAGAGAGGTGTACGGAGCCCAGCCGCCTATTGAGCTGTTGAGACAGTGGATGGACCACTGGAACTGGTATGACCTCAAGGAAAACACCAAGGTCAGCCCAGCCACCAAAGCCAACATAAACCACGTGCAAGTCAATGGCTCCCGTGTGCAACATGTTGCACAATATACAACGATTCTATGTATATTCCATGCAACATGGTGCGTGGACCATCATACCCATACATTAAAGACTTTATTTTGCCTACATAGCAAAGATTATGTGTGCCCTTAGTGCGAGCTAGTCCATCCGATCTCAAAAACATTGTAGTTGAATACAACCTCAATAGCTTTGGTGGTGTACAGCTCGCAGAATAGTGCTAAGAGCGCTTCTCAAGTGTGTTGCAATTGGAGAGCCTTGCATTTCCCCTCAACTTGGAGATCTTAATGCTAGATGTGTATGGAATCTTCAATGTGTCCAACTGTCCTCAGGTGAACCTGACGGACATTATACTGATAGCGGCCATGGGTCCACCGGGAGGAGGTCGTAACCCCATCACCCCGCGGTTCCTCCGACACTTCAACACCTTCACCATCAACGAGTTTGAGAGCGACACGATGAAGCTCATCTTCAGCCGCATCATGGACTGGCACCTCAGCAAGAGTTTCTCGGCCGAGATGAAATCTCTTGGCACGCAGGTGAGTATTCCTCCCCCCAGAGGAAATGACAAACGCTGCGTTCTATTTACTATAAGCCAAAAAAACGCAAAAGTTATTTACTCCTAGAGGAGCCACCACGCAATACTTCCAAAAGTAGCACAGTTTTACCAAACATTGTTGGTCGGCTAGGATCTGGATCAGTAAGCTATTACACTAGCCAAATTTTCTTGATATTCACCCAACGTTTCGACACTGCCAATCTGCAGCCTTCAGTTATGAGTAAGGAGGGAGGTGAACAGGGAGTGTTTTGCTATCATTTTCCCTTCCTCAATGACAGCATTCATGGACAATGCATTCAAAAAGTGTTGGTATACGTATGATTGTGTTCTCAGATTGTGGCAGCCACCATGGACGTGTACAAATCGGCCATGAGCAGCCTCCTGCCCACCCCAGCCAAGTCTCACTACCTCTTCAACCTGAGGGACTTTGCCAGGGTCATCCAGGGAGTCCTCCTCAGTGTACCCACCTCCATAACCGACCAGGACACACTTAAACGCTTGTGGATCCACGAGGTACAGTACATGCACCTATTGAACTGTAAACTCATTTTCGATGAGTATAATAATAATTATACTGATGAATGTCATACCCCCTAAACATTGACAAGAAAGAATACCAGAATTCGTCTTGGAATTGGACGAAGATTGTATGTTTCTTTTATACTGCATATAGTGCTAATAAGACTCCTGCGTTGCCGTCTCATTAAGCAATACATTGCAGCACTATATGTGAGTACATGCATAAACCTATTCTTTCGTACATATACATACATACACATACATAGGTGATGCGAGTGTACTACGATCGTCTGGTGGACGACTCTGATAGACTCTGGCTGACCAACTTCCTCAAAGAGTGCACGCAGAACAACTTTGGCACCAACTTTGACGAGCTCTTCAAACACCTTGACTCCAACAGCGATGGTCAGTGTTGAAGGAGCCTTCAACTCTTAGTACGCAGCGCCCAAAGAACAAATACACAAAATTAAAATGACAAAAGTGTCCTAACGAGTGACATGTCCTCACCACAGAGTGGTTTGACTGAATTTTAAAAACAAGACCCTGACACGCACAGTAATATGCTGTTAAACGCTGCACAGTATGTATATCTAGTTACCCTACACCCTCTGTCTCTCCTCTAGGAGTGGTTGAGGAAGATGACCTTCGAAGTCTCATGTTCTGCGACTTTGTGGACCCCAAGAATGACGCCAAGCCCTACACGGAGGTGGTGAACGTGGACAAACTGAGACTGGTGGCTGAGAACTTTCTCGACGAGTACAACAACATCAGCAAGAAACCGATGAACCTCGTCCTCTTCAGGTTCTTTGCTCCTCCGCTGCATGAAACGGGTTTAGTGTTGGCAATGCTTAGCCTTCACATGTATGTACAACATCCTAAAGATGGGTTTACAATCGTGACGCACGTGCATGAAGAGTAATATGTGAACCAGCCGGTGTGTGTGTGTGTGTGTGTGTGCAGGTTTGCCATAGAGCATGTGTGTCGGATCAGTCGTGTTCTGAAGCAGCCACGGAGCCACGCCCTCCTGGTGGGGGTGGGAGGGAGTGGTCGACAGTCCCTCACAAGAATTGCAGCCTACATGGCCGACTACGAAGTCTTCCAGGTCCGTATGGAGTATCTTTGGGATTTTGTATTGTTTTATTATGCAAGAACACATACATACATAAGTGTTGCCAATTGCGATCTCAGAGCCTCCCTAGTCCTCCTTTGTCTTTGGCTTTACATTCCTTCCCGAGACTTCTAGCAAGGACCTTCCTCCATGAACTGCATGTCTACCATTCTATTTTGTGTTGTGTGTACAGGTGGAGATTGGGAAGGGCTACACGTCGGTGGAGTGGAGAGAGGATCTGAAAAAGATCCTCAGGAAGAGTGCAGAGGGAGACTCCCACGCCGTCTTTCTCTTCACTGGTCAGAAAAATTGAGTGTACTATAGTGGGGATTTCATCGGTGCAAATGCTTTTTAGCAGTTTTACACTCATGTCCAACTTTGCCGTTCCTTATCCTACCAATCCTCTCTATACCTGGACTGCGGTTGAAGCTTTGCATGTGGATACTCTTAAGTACAAATTTCTTGGTATGTGTCTACAGACACACAGATCAAGGAGGAAAACTTTCTGGAGGACATTGGAAATCTGCTCAACACTGGGGAAGTCCCCAACATGTTTCCCATTGACGAGAAGAACGAGATATGCAGCAAGATGCGACAGATTGACAAGTCAGTCATTACCACTGTAAAGGCTCGCATACAGGAGGTGTACACAGTACTATCGAGACAAAATCTTTGTATTTAAGCAGCAGTTATTCTCACTCTACTCCAGGCAAAGGGAGAAGTCAAAGCAGACAGACGGGACACCGCTCTCTTTGTTCAACTTCTTTGTGGACAGAGTTAGGGAGCAGCTCCACGTGGTACTGGCCATGAGTCCCATCGGTGACGCCTTCAGAAACAGAGTCCGCATGTTCCCCTCCCTCATCAACTGCTGCACCATCAACTGGTTCCAGGTGCGCGTATGCACTTACTGTAGTATAGCCTTGTCTCCAGGACTTCCTGGAATGAAGCTTCTGCTGTGTGGTTGCTAGTGCGCTGGTGCATGACTGTTTAACGGACCAGGAAAACAGTGCAAGTAAAGTTTTCAGTTACATCTGCCTACTGTAGTAGCCTCGTCCCCACAACCATGCATTGGTTTATATGCTTTGTGGTTACTAGTGCGCTAGTGCATGATTGTTGCATTGTGTTACGGCCCAGCAAAAAACGGTGTGAGTCAAGTGGCCTAGCAAAAAAATGTGAGTTACATTTTTACGCCAATTTCACTGACATGTTTTCTACTGTCTCTGGGTAATTTGCCCTTACAGCAATCGACCATCTAACTCTTTTGCAACTTAAATTATGTCGTTTACTGTATGTACATGATTGAGTTCCACCACCCTATTTTCCAGAGCTGGCCAGATGATGCCCTCACCATTGTGGCCCAGAGGTTCCTGGACGAAGTGGAGATGGACGAAAGCATCAAGGACGGCTGCGTGGAGATGTGCAAAGAGTTCCACCAGACTACGAGGAAACTGTCAGACCGCTACCTTGCCACGCTCCAGAGACACAACTACGTGACCCCCACCTCTTACCTGGAGCTCATCTCCACCTACAAGACCCTCCTCTCCATGAAAAGAAGGTGCTGTGATACAATCACCGTTACACTCCTGTCGTGTATACCTGCCAACATGCAGAAGCACCTTTGCTCGATCAAATTTGCATGATATGAGATGCTAAATGCTGCTGGCTACGCTCCATATTTGTGGGAATTGGTCATTCTTTTTGTGGTGGGATGGGCAATAGGTATTTTTGCTTTAAATGATGGATGGTGACTGTGCTCTGTTAAGTAACGCATTCAAATATGATGACACTGAGCAAACCACAGGAGAAATATGGATGGGGCAAAAAACTACTTCTGGAGAAACTATGTTTATCACTAAGCCATAGTTGACTCATTCCTGTATTAGTCACAATCCCACAAGGCTAGTGGTGCGATGCAACACACTCCACGAGTCTATCTTCATGGCTGACTGAAACAATGTGACATATTATTTTCGATACCCTAAGCCTTATAAAACAAACACGTGTTTTAGTTCTCCTTTCTACATGTCATAATTAGTGAGGTTCAGAAGTTGCGGCGGCGCTACGAGGTGGGACTAGACAAGCTGCAGTCAGCCAGTGACCAGGTGGCCGGGATGCAGGAGGAACTGGAGAACCTCAAACCCAAACTGGAAGAGTCCAGCAAACAGGTGGGTGGAAGATTAATAACACATTCTGTGTGCTAGTTACATGTGGGACATGAAGTCAATCCCGTTATTCTACCACCTAAATGTTGATGTACACTCATGTTGATCAGACTCAGAAGAGAATGGAGAACACTGACTTCTATCAGGATTCGAGCCCAGGCCTAGCGACTAGTAACCCAGTCACTATGAACTGAGCTACAACTGCTCACAAGGGCCAAGTTTCCCCATTCCCTTTATATTTGCAATAGAGGTCTTGAAAGTTTTGTAGAAAAACACCACTATAATGTATGGTCACCTATGTACACTAGTATATATGTGCCTTTAATGTAAGCTATCCTAACACCCACACCACTATTATTTGAAGCTGAAGCACTGGCATGTGGTTGACACAGGTGGCAGAGATGATGGTGGTCATCACGAAAGAGAGCAAAGACGTGGCAGAGAAGGAGACAGTGGTGAAGGCAGATGAGGAAGTCGCCAACAAGCAGGCCATGGCAGCCAAGGCCATCAAGGACGAGTGTGACGCTGACCTGGCTGAGGCCATTCCCATCCTCGAGTCTGCTATCTCTGCACTCAACACTCTCAGCTCTCAGGTGAACTTTGAATATACATACTAAGTGAGAGTTTACTGTGCCATAGCACAGTGGTTGGAGGTTTGCCTTAATTGTGTTGTGTTGTGTTGTAGATTCGAACCCCTACCAGCTGAGTTGCCCTGGTAGCTCAGTTGGTAGAGCGCTCGCCTAGACTGCAGAGTGTCGTGGGTTCGAATCCCACCTAGGGCAGCTCTTTATTTTTCCTTGGAAAAAAGAGCTGTCCTAGGTGTAGTTGATTTGTTTGTTGTGCCTTTGCCTTTCTACCTCATAGTTTTCACATACATATTCTCAATATCTAACCAACTCCTAAGCCTCTTGGTTATAGATTATGTCAAACTTCCTAGGTGGTAATCACTGTTGCAAGTGCTCTGTGGATGCGCTCCATATACCCAACTTTATTAAGGACGTACATACACTGTTCAAAAGGCACCGTTGTTAGTGTTGGCCAATCATTGATACATCTTGCCATGGTAGCGACTTTATTTCTGACTGCAAGTGCTCCCATACACATGCACACATGTTACCTCCTTTAAACATTCTACCATTTAAAAGGATACATTGACTCTATTTGCTTTCACTGCCTGCGCCTGCGTGCACACACACACACACACACACACACAAACAGGACATCACTGTGGTTAAGACGATGAAGAGTCCTCCATCAGGAGTGAAGCTGGTCATGGAGGCAATCTGCATTCTCAAGGGAGTCAAGCCTGACAGGATCCCCGACCCTTCCGGCTCTGGGAAGAAGATTGAGGATTTTTGGGGGCCATCCAAAAAGTTGCTGGGAGACATGAAATTCCTCCAGTTACTCAAGGAATATGACAAGGTTGGTCACAGCTAGCAGCCTGTTCTATAATGTTTACCACGGCCCCATATGTTCCTACTAAGAGTGTGTAATTTGTGTTCGAAAAAGCCCTCAAAGAACCAAACCCACTATGGCACAGAACACATTAGTGCCGATTCAGATAATTATTGTAACCACGTGATGACTCTCCTCTCGTGATCAACTATTTTGCTCGTATCTCAAAAGTGTATCCATACGAGGAATGGTCCCTTTTTCCCGTATCAAGTGACGATATTTCTTTTCTTGCAGGACAACATCCCGCAAGCTTACATCACTAAAATCCGCAACGAGTATGTCACCAATCCGGACTTTGACCCCCCCAAGATCAAGAACGCATCCACAGCAGCGGAAGGCCTGTGCAGATGGGTCCTTGCCATTGAGAAATATGAAAAGTGAGTTGTGCTTGGAATTATGCATTGACTTATTGTGAAACGAGGTCAAAGCACAGCACAGACAAATAACACCAACTATGCACACCCACTTAGAAAATATTACGCTTACAACTTTGTGTATGTGTCAACAACAAGCACAGGCCAGCAACGCAACCACTGTATATCACCGTCATATCCCCCCACGTACCCATGCAGTTATTAAGGGGGAGGGGTGCAGCCTGAGTTATAGTCGAGAGGTTGTTTTCCATCCCACACAGAGTGGCTCGAGTAGTGGCTCCAAAGAAAGCCAAACTAAAGGAAGCCGAGGCAGAGCTCAAAGTGGCTATGGAGGTATGCATGTGTCTTTTGTATCTGTCTCTCTCTGGGAGCGTTGCATGTTTTTATCCTCCTTTCTCACACTTTGTTGTCTCAGTCCCTGAACAAGAAGAGGGCAAACCTGAGGGCAGTGCAGCAGAAACTGGCAGACCTCCGGGCACAGTTTGACGAGAACATGGCCAAGAAAGAGCAGCTGGAGAGAGATGTCGACATGTGCACCAAGAAACTCGACCGGTGAATACACACAGACACGCACCAGCCAACACCAAAAATTTTAACTTGCCAAATATCCATGTGTTATATTATGCTTGAAATGAGTCCTGCTATGTACATACATACCGTCCTGTAAAAGATTTACGTGCATTCTAATTATGCACACATGCATGCTTGCTCGTGATTCCCGAGAATGTACAGCAATGTCACGCTGGTGAAATTGTACGCTTGCATTTTCCCCCCCATAATCCATTCTAGTACATACAAGTACGCAAAAAGATATAAAATATGTACATCTTCCTGGGTAGGGCTGAGAAGCTGATAGGTGGTCTTGGAGGAGAGAAGACGAGGTGGTCACAGGCTGCCAAGGACCTCGGCATCCAGTACAATAACCTGACTGGAGATGTTCTGGTGTCGTCTGGTATTGTGGCCTACCTCGGAGCCTTCACCTCTGCCTTCAGATCTGTGAGTCTTTGGCTAAGCCAGCAGAGTCCCATGTGTAAAACTGTATGATAGCATATACCTAGCATAATGTACATACTCTTCCCTTTTCTAGGATCAAACAAAGATGTGGTGCAAAATGTGTGTACAGCGCAACATTCCCTGCTCCTCTGATTTCTCCCTCACCTCTACTCTTGGACGGCAGGTGTGTGCTGCACTTGCACCCTCTAGCCTGGTTGTGTACCATACATTAAGTCGTCTGTATTAATTGGTGGGTTATTAGGTCAAAATACGCGAGTGGAACATTGCTGGGCTGCCGACCGACTCTTTCTCTGTGGAAAATGGCATCATCATCAGGTGACTTACATACATAGATACTAACCAGTGTATACATGAAAATTTTATCAAACTCATAGTGTACTATTACATTTTCAGGTTGTTGTACGAATGTTGTTGTTTTTCTGATCTCCCTCCAGTAATGCCCGTCGCTGGCCGCTCCTGATTGACCCGCAGGGCCAGGCCAACAAGTGGATCAAAAACATGGAGAAATTGCACAACCTCCACGTCATAAAACTCACAGACAGCGACTTTGTCCGAACGCTCGAGAACTGCATCCAGTTTGGGAACTCCGGTTCTCCTGGAAAACGTTGGGGAGGAGATTGACCCAATCCTGGAGCCACTCCTCCTCAAACAGACTTTCAAACAGGGAGGCAGCATCTGTATCAAGCTGGGAGACAGCACCATCGAGTACTCCAAGGACTTCCGGTTCTACATTACCACCAAGCTGAGGAACCCACACTACCTCCCAGAGACCTCAGTCAAGGTGCACTATAATACCCACACATTGACAGCATTTCACCAGCTGTAACCAATATGTTGCGGGTCACACACTGACCATCAAGTAGGGTGGAAATTTTAACTATGTAGTGTGTGAGTTTAGTGTACTTTTGCTATTTGATTGAGGTATGTGACTACATATAGTTGCTGTCTTATACTTGATGGTTCACCTTCTGAATTAGAGTGTATGTCAATTTCACAGTTCTTCTGTAATTGTGAAGACTTCACACTAAATATAGTTTCCGAATTTAACTTATTGCAGTCTGCCTGCGGTTCATGAGCCATAAGTAATGTGTTGTGGCGTGTGCAGGTGACTCTGCTGAACTTCATGATCACAATGGAGGGTCTGCAGGACCAGCTGCTGGGGATCGTGGTGGCAAGAGAGAGGCCAGAGCTGGAGGAGGAGAAGAATCAGCTCATCCTCCAGTCTGCACAGAACAAAAAGTATGTATGCCAGTAATCTCCGCATGCCATGGCATGTGACATATGCACATCTGGATTTCAAAAGCGTAGTGACAGTAAAGTGTAACACAATTACTATTGTTTGAAAAGCCATAGAGTTACATAGTGACCACAGTCAAGATGTGAGGCAAGCGATGTACAGCAATAGTCTTTTGTGCATGCCCAAGGTCACCACCCACAGAACAGCTAGGAGGTATGTCCAACCTTTAATTAAGCCTTGAGCAATGTGCTACAAAAAGATTTTACTTAAGAGTTCCTGGGGGAGGGATTGTTTGTGAAAGTCTAATAAATTTGATGAGGAGTCGTCCTATCCAAGTTTTTAAGCGGTAAGATTTTCCATACACTGACATGCATATACAGTACATACATACACTGATCCCATTATCCCTGCTATGCATGTGCGTGCAGTACAGTTACATGTGCAGAGATCAGCAAGCTCAAAATCACTGCAAGCAGTTTACTGTAATCGCAAGAAGACGTTGCTACACCTGCAACTATACTACCACAGGG